TCATATAATGGAGGTCTATGGTCACCACCTCAAAGAGCATGCACAGAGAAGTCCAAATTAAACAAGATTTAATGACTCGTAAATGTAAGTACACATTGATGGCCTAAGACACGAAACGAGCGGTTTGTGTGAGAAAACCAACAGTATTTATATCGTCTTTACCTCTTGTAACCACAGCCACGATCTGAGGACACGGGCGCTTCGGTCTAGGTTAGGGTTCGGAAAGCGCCGGAAGTGATCTCTAGCGCGGTTGCAAATAAAAAAAAAATCAACGTTGTCTGATATATCGAAAAGTGAAGGATAACACTTCTGAAATCTCTGTAAACAATGAGTGATGTACACGTGCGAGAGATCACTTCCGGCGCTTTCCGGCACTGGCGCAGACCGAAGCTCTGCGGCCTCAGATCACTTGGACGTGGCTGTGATTACAAGAGGTAAAAACGATATAAATACTGTTTGTTTTCTCACACAAACCGCTCGTTTCGTGTCTTAGGCCATCAATGTGTACTTACATTTACGAGTCATTAAATCATGTTTAATTTGGACTTCTCTGTGCATGCTCTTTGAGGTGGTGACCATAGACCTCCATTATATGACTGGCAGACAAGAACGGTTTGACCTAAAAATATCAATACTGCGGAAACAAAGACACCTACATCTTGAATGCCCTTGAGGTAAGATAAAACATACATAAACATACCAAAAATTTATTTCAAAGTGAACTATCCCTTTAAGCGTAGCCTAAATGTGGAAGATCGCTCGATTACAATGTCGTCGTCTGTTTTAGCAGAATACTGCCATCTAGAGGTAGCAGATTTTCTCAGACAGTGTGTGTGGATCGTGCAAGGCTAAACCGGCGAAATGAAAGTCTCAAAATCCAAATGAATCAAATAGGATTGACTCAGAAACAAGTCAATGAATACACACGTGTCACCTGATCAACAAATGCACATCTTACTTGTTCTGAGCTACATTAATACAAAATCGAGGTTTTGTATTAACAACTATAGCTCTATTTGTACAAAATGCTGCACATTCATGTGATTCTGGATTTTTATTTGATTAGTTTAAATGTTGTGATGCACATTTGTGAATTTGTCAAATAGATGTGTAGTTGTGCACACATTAATAACTAGCACCAGGCCTATTTGTTTGTGTGTGGGTTGTGAAATCCCCCCAAAAAACACGAAAAGAAAGTCTCAAAATCCAAATGAATCAAACGAGATCGACTCAGAAAAGGCGTCAATGAATGCACCAGATCCACACATGCACATCTTAATCCACACAATTATGCTACACTAATGCAAAAGAAAACATTTGTATTCACAAAAATGTCTCTATTTGTACATATTGCAACACATTCATTCAATTTTGAAGTTTGTGCATGTGGTTGTGCACAGAAAACATTTCTGCAACATTAATCGAGTTCATTGATAATTGTGCTTGCACGTATTAATCATTTTGATACTATATTCATCCCATACATAATGACAGTCGGCGTCCCCTTAGCAGAACCTGCGCCTGCATAAGAGTGATGTCTTCTCTGGCCTTCAACATGTGATACATGTTTTGAAACAAACCATGCCAATAGTAGGGAGTATCTAGAAGATTTGACACAGAACTGTGGAAAATCTCATTAAAAAGAGTTGGAAAGTAAGTGTGTTTTTGGGCAGACCGACTGAAGACGACGAGGCAAACACCAGCATGTGATGTCATTGTCCAAAAACAGTATAAAAATGAGTTACAAGTATAATTGTTAGATGTTCTGCATGATCTCCATCAATAAAGTACAAGCTTTGGCCTCGCAAACTCCATGATTTGAGTGATTTCTTGCATTAAGGGGAAGACTTTTTCCACGACAGTGTGTGTATGCGTGTCATGAATGCTTGGTCATCATGGCACATTGGTACAAGTATGCGTGTATTGATTTGTTTGCATGCATATTAACAAAAGCCCTCAAAGCGTATTAACTTTATAGCCCTTAATCCTGTAATTGTGGACAAATGTGGGCACAGACAACTCAGATGTGATCCTAATTTTTATTTATTATAAAGGTTATATCCTCTAATGAGCGATAACTTAGTTTCGGTTAATTATTTTAAGGCCAAATGTTGATCTGTAGATACTTATACATTTCCCATATTTTAAAGACCTCCCATAGTTTCACCTCATTCCTGAATGAATCAGACATTTGAACAAATCAAATGAGTGAATGATTCAATGACTCACTCATAAAGAGAGCAGTTCACCTCATTCCTGAATGAATCAGTCGTTTGAACGAATCCAATGAGTGAATGATTCAATGACTCACTCATAAAGAGAGCCGTTCACCTCATTCCTGAATGAATCAGTCGTTTGAACGAATCAAATGAGTGAATGATTCAATAACTCACTCATAAAAAGAGTTGTTCCTCTCATTCCTGAATGAATCAGCTGTTTGAACAAATCAAATGAGTGAATGAATCAATGACTCGGTCATAAAGAGAGCCGTTCACCTCATTCCTGAATGAATCAGACGTTTGAATAAATCAAATGAGTGAATTATTCAATGACTCACTCATAAAAAGAGCCATTCATCTCATTCCTGAATGAATCAGACGTTTGAACAAATCAAATGAGTGATTGATTCAATAACTCACTCATAAAAAGAGCTGTTCCCCTCATTCCTGAATGAATTAGACGTTTGAACAAATCAAATGAGTGAATGATTCAATAACTCACTCATAAAAAGAGCTGTTCCCCTCATTCCTGAATGAATCAGACATTTGAACAAATCAAATGAGTGAATGATTCAATGACTCACTCATAAAGAGAGCCATTCATCTCATTCCTGAATGAATCAGACGTTTGAACAAATCAAATGAGTGAATGATTCAATAACTCACTCATAAAAAGAGCTGTTCCCCTATTCCTGAATGAATCAGACATTTGAACAAATCAAATGAGTGAATGAATCAATGACTCGGTCATAAAGAGAGCCGTTCACCTAATTTCTGAATGAATCAGCCATTTGAACAAATCAAATGAGTGAATGAATCAATGACTCACTCATAAAGAGAGCCGTTCACCTCATTCCTGAATGAATCAGCCTTGTTTCATTACATTGTAATACAATTTTCATTATGTTTGGAAATTGTTACTTAATGTGTTCATGGACTTTTTTTAACAACATGCACTACTTGAGCAATTTCTGGTTGTGTACAGCCGCACAAACACAAATAAACACACTCCAGACAGTGGCCCTCTTGTGCTTGCGCTCAAAAACTACAAACTGCAGGGTTGCGAAGCTCAGTGTTGTGGACTGTACATCCTCTGTCCCCGTGGGCTGGAGGAAAATCTGCTTACACTGAAACACACTCGCAAATGAGGCACATGTGGATGCATATGCAAATGAGAGAGGAGGAAATTACCATCTTGGCTTCTGATTGGACAGGCTGTGGAGGGGAGGGGCCGGGCATCCCAGGGACACTAGGCACTATGGTGACAGGTCTGACCAGCTGAAAACACACACACACGTGACAAACTTAATATGTGATCAGACTCTATGTGTCTCTCACACTAAAGTAAAAGAAGCAAACAGAAGTGAAAAAGGCTCGTTATCTCAAACACACAGCAACGCTCAGCATATGTTCACATCTGTGGTCGAGCAACTGAGACAACAAAACAGATCATGTATAGTAATTGTTTCTGAAGTTTTATATTAGCATAATCATAAAAGCAATAAACAATATGGTACTGCACTTCAAGGAAAAGCATGGGACTTGTTAGAGAACACAGTTACTGAACAATGACTGTTTACTTCAGTCATTTTAGAGCTGAATTTAATTCTGTTTGCATCATTATGTTACTGTTTATCCCTGGAAACATCTATGTTGCCCAAGAAATAAAGATGAATATAATCATGATACAAATCAAATTAAGAATTTTTTTTTATATTTTCTGTTTTTATATAAATGTTTTCACTCCAATTAAAAAAAAAAATCCCATTAAATTTAAAGGAGTAGTTCACTTTAAAAAAAAACTTTTGCTGATAATTTACTCACCCCCATGTCATCCAAGATGTCCATGTCTTTCTTTCTTCAGTCGAAAAGAAATTAAGGTTTTTGATGAAAACATTCCAGCATTTTTCTCCATATAATGGACTTCAATGGGAACCAAACGGTTCAAGGTCCAAATGAGAGTTTCAGTGCAAACTACAAACTGTTCAAAGGGCTTTAAAGACACCAGACGATGAATAAGGGTCTTATCAAGCGAAACGACCGCTCATTTAAAAAAAAAGTTTAAGTTTTATAAGCTCAAATGCTCGCCTTGCTCTGTTCTGATGCATGTTCGTGACTCTCCTGTTCAAACTCGTTCATCAAAATGAACGAATCTTTTCCAGATTCAATTCATTCATTTCGCTCGTTGAATGAACCAAATGACACGAAAAAAGATTTGTTTATTTTGATGAACGAGTTCGAACAAGAGAGTCACCAAAGCGCATCACAGAACAGAGCAAGGCGAGCATTTGAGTAACTTAAACTTTTTTATTTATTTTTTAAATGAGCGATTGTTTCGCTTGATAAGACCCTTATTCATCGACTGGAATTGTTTAAAGCCTATTGAACAGTTTGTAGTTTGCACTGAAACTGTCTTTTGGACCTTGAACCATTTGGTTCCCATTGAAGTCCATTATATGGAGAAAAATCCTGGAATGTTTTCATCAAAAACCTTCATTTCTTTTCGACTGAAGAAAGAAAGACGTGGACATCTTGGATGACATGGGGGTGAGTAAATTATCAGCAATAGTTTTTTTAAAAGTGAACTAATATCGACAATTTATTAAAAAGAGAAATATATATATTTGTATCACTAGCAGAGATTTGAAACTATAAAGACTTGACCATACTTCGAATAAAAGGACAACTCAACTTTCTCATTTTCTGTTAGTTATCCTTGCTGAGAAAAAACACAAAGAAATCGGTCACAACGAACTACATCACTAAACTGGCTTACTAGCAGCTTGTTGTGTTTATAAATAAAAGTAAAAAAATGCTGAAATCTATTAAAAAAAACAACAACATTTATTTACTAAATTAAAAACCAATAACACAAATCTCAACATAAAAAGGGTCCCTGAGTCTGTAGTCCTGTAGAAACACTGTATTACAGCATAAACATTTTCTTTCTTTCTTTGTTTCCCATTCCTCTCCTTTCCTCCTGCTGAAAGCCTACGGCACATAATCATATGCTGTTCAGTGTTCCAATCACACACACACACACAGGGGTTTAACTGGCCCAGACACGTGTGTGTGAGTGATAATATGTCTCTGCATAAATTAGCGCACGCCACACAGGCTGACGTCAGGAAAGAGGCGCAGTGTCCTTCATAAGAGCAACATCATCTACCAGCGCACACTTAACCCTTGTGCGTCAATTAAAAAGAGTTACCCTTATAGGTCCATAGTGGAAAAAAATTATCTGTGTCAAAAAACTACCATAAAAATTCAACTAGGGAGCACAGACTTAAAGGTACAGTATGCAGGATTTTTTGCAGTAAAATATCCAAAAACCGCTAGGCCAATGTTATAGTTGATTTTAGTTTTAGTTGATTACTTACAATATCCCAAATGTTTCCAACTATTTGTAAACCGTGAAAAAATTGTGGTTTTTAACCAAGGAAACGTGAGCAGTCGCCAGTCAATGACGTCATATCCGCGTTACCCCCGGTTTCCGCCAGGTTTGACCTCGTAATGCTTTGGTAACCATGGCGACAGACGTGGACAACTGGGTCGGTTATGCCCGTTAAGCGTTCTCAACAGCGTGAGCGTCCCTAGCAGGGTTTTGTTCAAACGTTATGGAGCATAGCAAGCAGACTTTGAGACAAAAAGAGGACTAGAACGAAGATCAACATCTTTGGAGATGCCGAGAGCTCCACGTCCACGACTAACTTCGACTTGACAGAGTGTTGGATGTTACTCCAGCAAACAGGTGAGCAAATCAATGTATGTAAAACTAATCAATGTTCTATAGTTCAACATGATGAAAAGTTAGAGTATGATCTGTATGTTATTCTCTAATGTTAGTCTCATATAGCCAACAAACAACCGAACTAACGACATTCAACACACTCAAATGCCGTTTAGTGTGATAGTGAAACTGTTAGAGCAAGTGAAGCAGCACTGCGTTACCTCAAGTTTAATTACTCTAATAAACTGACCTGTGTGAGTAATTCAGCGTGTAGTTCGCTAGAATGAAATGTCCTTATACTCTCAGAAAAAAAGGTACAAAAGCTATCACTGGGGCTGTACCTTTTCAAAAGGTAAACTTTTGTCCATTTTAGGTGCTAATAAGTACATTTTAAGTGTTAATATGTACATTTTAGGTGCTAATAAGTACATTTCAGGTGCTAATATGTACATTTTAGGTGCTAATAAGTATATTTTAAGTGTTAATATGTCCATTTTAGGTGCTAATAATTACATTTTAAGTGTTAATATGTCCATTTTAGGTGCTAATAAGTACATTTTAAGTGTTAATATGTCCATTTTAGGTGCTAATAAGTACATTTTAAGTGTTAATATGTCCATTTTAGGTGCTAATAAGTACATTTTAAGTGTTAATATGTACATCTTAGGTGCTAATATGTCCATTTCAGGAGCTAATGTCCATTTTAGGTCCTAATATGTACAATTTAAGTGTTAATATGTACATTTTAGGTGCAAATATGTTAATTTCATGAGCTAATATGTCCATTTTAGGTGGTAATATGTACATTTTAGGTGTTAATATGTACATTTTAGGTGCTAATATGTACCACTAAGGTACCAATATGCAGCCTTTGGGTACAAAAGTGTACCGTTTGAAAATGTACAGCCCCAGTGACAGCTTTTGTACCTTTTTTTTCTGAGAGTGTATTCCTTAATATCCACAGGACTCGTGTTGCGTGTGGCGCTGGTATACGTCTAGCAATCGCGCCCTGCTTCATACCACAGTCAAGTTAAAAATATCAATGTATTCACTCATCCATAAAAGATACATCAGCTTGGCGACAAGATCCATAATTCAGCTTAATGCGGAACATACGTCATTAATATACGCCTTTGCAATTGTAAGAGGTTAGCGACCCCTGGTGGCGAAACAATCTTGCATATTGTACCTTTAAGTTTGTGAAGTCTCATTTTAAAGCAGAACAAAAAAACCAAAAAAAAAAAAAATGTATGAACATTATTGTATATAAAATATATATTTTATAAAACAAGCTGAACTCTAAAACTCCAAATTTTAGGTTGATATCTCAAAACATGAGCTTTTAGTAAGAGCTTGTTTAGGCGCAGTAACACATTTTCCCCATTAGATGCCAGCAGAACTCCACTTTATGATTTGCAGTCTCTCTCGAATATTTTATGCACACACAATTTTTTTACTACATAAAAAATAATTTATCCTATTGGCTCTATAATACGCAAAAGCAGAAAACAAGACTAAATGGAGAATTTGCTTTATAGGGCAAACCTGAGAAAATGGCACCATTTGGAACAAAAAAAAGAGTGAAATGAATGTAGAATGAAAGCGTATTAACAAAGATTGCATCATTTTATAGGTAAATCGCTAAATATAATAAACTAAATAAATAGAGTTTCAATGGGGACATTTTTGTTCTCAAGGTCAAATTGTGTACCTAAAGCAAAATAGATTCATTAAAGGAAATATTTGAAGGATATAAATATATAAAGGAAAGGTGAAATAGTAAACATCCAATAAAAATACACACATATGCCAATATTTATGTAGTTAGCATTATCAGAGGTAAAATGATCAAAAGGACACACATGTCCATAAGGTTGCACAAACTCAACGCAATGGAGCCATGTTTAAAACAGGTTGCGTGACTTTCCAGCACACTGTGTTTCTCCGTGACGGATGTGTGGGACGGTTTACATCTGGTCAGCGCACAGACAGCTTGTCTCAAATGCGTCTCCTGTGACCACTTGTGATTTGAAAGGCAGAGTTTTTAAAAAGAGGAAAACATTTCAAGCTGAACGGTTATTTTAGTCAAGCTTCTGTGAACTTCAGATGTGCGTGTGTGTGACGATCATCTGAGATGGACGCCGTACACACTTATTACACTCATCTACTGCATCATAACTCTGCGGCACTCCGACAATGTCTAATTAGACAAATAAAACAAACAAAACAAAAAGCTGCCTGTTTAAAGTGCCCCATTATGCTATTTTAAAGCTTCCTAGTCTCCTACAATAAGTTTACAAGCAAAAACCACTTTAATTTTCTCATAATACACACTACACATCACCTAATTTATCTGAAAATGGTTAATTTAGAAGATTCAAGTCTCTCTAAACCCTGAGAGTCTACTCGGCTCTGATTGGTCACGTGGCCTAGTGTGTTGTGATTGGTCGACCGCTTACAGCTTATGTCGGAAACCAAACCATTTCTGAAATTCAGCTCTTCCTCAGCACTTCTGACGCGGTGACACGAACAGTGACGATGGCATCGGTTTTACCGAATCAGTTCCAGCGCGAGTCCTCATGCTTTTGAACCGCATCAAAGTGGATTTGCAGAAAACGGCGTCTTCTCGACATGACCAAACGCTCCCAGTCTCAGATACACTACAGTGTTTTAGGGTCAAAGTAGACGTTGTTCACCGGCAGCCAATGAAGACTAGCCTAGAAATCTAGACGCACCCAAGCGGCAGCAAAAATTATTTTGCAGCAAAGCGGGGTCTAGCAACTCTCCATAGACGTTTTAGCTGGAAAACCCCAACTCTGGAAGGGCCAATCACATCGTGTATAGAGTCGACGGGCGGGCTTAACAAAATGACGACAGAGTTGCGACGGACAGAGCCAGCTCGGACATATTCGGTTTTAAGTTGTACATCCTCGGATGCGGCCGCCGCGCGCGCTGTTACAAAAAAGCAGTGGCGAAACGATCAACTTGTCATTTTGTCGTCGAGTATAAAAGTTTTACTCCGTGTCAGCGCGCGCTCTGATTGGTTAAGGTGCACAGACCTCTCCCGAATCATCTCCACCACTCCGAAAAACCACTACTCCGCCTCCCTTTCCCTCGTAAGCTGATATTAGTATTTAAACATTCTCTATGATATTATTTTTTTAATGACACACTGTCTCTTTCTCTCTCATACACACACAAACACACACATACTATCTCTTTCTCTCTCACGCATATGTAGGCTAGTTATAAACCCTTTAGACTTTTAATGATTAGTGTTTTATTTTTAAAGTTTGTGGGTCGTAAAAAACTTTTATTTTATAAAATCCCTTATTTTGGGGATGGATTCCGGGAAATCTCCCTTATTTTCAATGTTCAATGTTGACAGCTGGACTGGATACGGTAAAAGTTAGTTAGGATTTTTTTTTTTTTACAGTAAAAGGGTTAGTTCACCCAAAAATGAAAATTCTGTTTTTAATCTGGGGAATGAGATCTGTTTGATTAAAACATTCTTCCAAATATCTTCCTTTGTGTTCAGCAGAACAAATAAACACATCGAGGTTTAGAACTACATGAGGGTGAGTAAATACTGACAGAATTTTCATTTTTGGGTGAACTAACCCTTAAATATATCAACTTGCTTAGGAGTCCAACTTTATACATTTACATTCATGCATTTGGCAGACGCTTTTATCCAAAGCGACTTACATTGCATTTTCAAGGTACACCTTTACATTCTCATCAGTTCTTGCTTTCCCTGGGAATCGAACCCATGACCTTGGCGTTGCAAGCGCCAGCGCTCTACTGTTTGAGCTACAGGAAAGACAACTTTGAAAGAGAGACGCACTCAAGATAGAGGAGTGTGTGTGTATATGTGTGTGGGACACTCACAGGAATGGCAGTGGGTATGTGTACGCTGGAGCTGGCGATGGTGGCTGGAATAGCGACGGGCATCGTCTGACCGTTCGGCAGCTGCAGGAGAACCGGAAACGTGCCGGACACCGGACTGGAGAGAGAGAGAGAGAGAGAGAGAGAGAGAGAGATGGGGGGGAAAGAAACTAAATTCATTTCAAAACATAAAATTAACATTACTGCAATATAGAATTTAAATATACAATAAATAAGCTGCAAACACAAGCTACACAGCATCATGCTAACATTAAAGTCAACATTAAAACAGAATCTGCGTGGTATTTTACTGTTTGTGACATTTTCCTGAGAGAGTCAATGAGGATAAGGGCAGGACTTCAGATTAGATTAGGTCTGGGTCAGATTTGCGAGTCAATCATATTCACATTCACAACATTTATCGTTGTTTGCTATTATTGTCTTAACTCTTTTTATTACTGCCATAAGTTACATAAAACAGCTACTTGGCTTTTGGTTCAAATTAAAAACATTATTATTGCGTGACTTCAGGGTAAAAGGAAAGCTCAGCTATTACATTTTAATTAAATATTACAAAGGCGAACATTTTTTTCCCCTTTGTGATGAATCATGCACAAAAATGTATTAAGAAGTATGGGATTAATATCCTGCCATGATTCAAAAGTGAAAATAAAGTTCTGAAAGGTTGAAACTAAGTGTTCGAAAACTCAAAATCGTACAAAAAAAGTACCTAAAATTTTGCAAGATCAAAAAATAATACGATTTGCACAAACGTAAAATCATTAAAACATTAATACTTTTTCAATTGCGAGATATGAAGTATGAAGTCATAATTGTGAGAAATGAAGTCACAATTGCGAGATTTAAAGTCGCAATTCTGAGAAATAAAGTCGCAATTCTGTGAAATGAAGTAGCAATTCTGAGATATAAAGTGGTAATTCTATGAAATAGTCGCAATTTTGAGAAAAAAAGAGAATTGTGAATTTTTATCTCACTATTTGACTTTTTCTCACAATTGCGACTTTACAACACGGAAGTGCGACTTTATATCTCGCAATTCTGACATCTTTTCTCAGAATTGTTTGATATAAAATTGTAATTGCGAGTTATCAGGCTAATTCAAAGAGGAAAAAAGACTAACTTTTTTCCCCTCAGAATAGTTTATATCTCACAATTCTGACTTTATATCTCGCAATTCTGAATTTATATCTCGCAATTCTGACTTTATATCTCGCAATTCTGAATTTATATCTCGCAATTCTGACTTTATATCTCGCAATTCTGACTTTATATCTCGCAATTCCGACTTTATATCTCGCAATTCCAACTTTATATCTCGCAATTCCGACTTTATATCTCGTAATTCCGACTTTATATCTCGCAATTCCGAATTTATATCTCGCAATTCCGACTTTATATCTCGCAATTCCGAATTTATATCTCGCAATTCCGACTTTATATCTCGCAATTCCGAATTTATATCTCGCAATTCCGACTTTATATCTCGCAATTCCGAATTTATATCTCGCAATTCCGACTTTATATCTCGCAATTCCGACTTTATATCTCGCAATTCCGAATTTATATCTCGCAATTCCGACTTTATATCTCGCAATTCCGAATTTATATCTCGCAATTCCGACTTTATATCTCGCAATTCCGACTTTATATCTCGCAATTCCCACTTTATATCTCGCAATTCCGAATTTATATCTCGCAATTCCCACTTTATATCTCGCAATTCCGACTTTATATCTCGCAATTCCCACTTTATATCTCGCAATTCCGAATTTATATCTCGCAATTCCGACTTTATATCTCGCAATTCCCACTTTATATCTCGCAATTCCCACTTTATATCTCGCAATTCCGACTTTATATCTCGCAATTCCCACTTTATATCTCGCAATTCCCACTTTATATCTCGCAATTCCGAATTTATATCTCGCAATTCCGACTTTATATCTCGCAATTCCGAATTTATATCTCGCAATTCCCACTTTATATCTCGCAATTCCCACTTTATATCTCGCAATTCCGAATTTATATCTCGCAATTCCCACTTTATATCTCGCAATTCCGACTTTATATCTCGCAATTCCGACTTTATATCTCGCAATTCCGAATTTATATCTCGCAATTCCCACTTTATATCTCGCAATTCCCACTTTATATCTCGCAATTCCGACTTTATATCTCGCAATTCCAACTTTATTACACGCAATTGCGACTTTATATCTCGCAATTCTGACTTTATATCTCACAATTCTGACTTTATATCACATAATCGCGAGTTTATATCTCGCAATTCTGACTTTATATCTCGCAATTGAGACTTTATATCTCGCAATTCCGACTTTATATCTCGCAATTCCGATTTTATATCTCGCAATTATGACTTTATATCACATTATTGAGAGTTTATATCTCGAAATTCTGACAACTTTTCTCAGAATTGTGTGATATAAACTTGCAATTGCGAGTTATCAGGCCAATTCAAAGAGGAAAAAAGACTAACTTTTTTTCCCCTCAGAATAGTTTTTATCTGACAATTCTGACTTTACAACACGCAATTTCGACTTTATGTCGCAATTCTGACTTTATATCACGCAATTCTGACTTAATATCTCGCAATTGTGAGAAAAAAAGTCAGAATTGTGAGATACATGAATTGTGAGATACATGTCGTAATTACCTTTTATTACCTTTGGTAAAAAAAAAAAAATTACCAAATTTTTCATTCTGTGGCGGAAACAAGCTTCCATAGACAGTTTTGCAGGCTTGCAAAGTGGTAAAACAAAATCTTTGCAAAAATTGTTTACGCAACATCATAAAAAAAATGTTGCAGCTCTTCAGCAGGAAATCTCAAAAACAATGTTTGCAGAAATATTTTTAATGTTTTTACATTTGTGCAAATCATGCAAATCTTATTTTTTTGATCTTGCAAAACTTTTTTTTATAAGACTTTGAGTTTTCGAACACTTAGTTTCAACGTTTCAGAACTTTATTTTCCCTTTTGAATCATGGCAGGATATTAATCCCATAAAGAAGCAGTAGTATAACAATCATGTATTAAAACGCAGTAGAGTCAATAGTTCTGTGTTCATGTTGACTTTAAGTGAAGTATTGAACATAAAAAACAACAACAGCATGAATTCCAACTTCAACTGTTGTGCGAAACAAAACAAAAGGCTCAAATAAAACCGGTCAAATGGTCGATCAAATCTACGAGGTGAAAGTAAAGGCACATGGATCACAAGCAAATTACACGAAATCATAAATTCTCCAAGTAAATGAGTGACCAAAATGAAACACCAAATGAGGCGTAAAAGGAGACAATGATGTCAAACTAGGAGAGAAGCAGAATAAATACGTAACGTTTAAGAGGTTACTTACACTATGGATCTACTAGAGGACGGGACCTGGGTTATTACAGAGCTAGATGTTGGAGATGGGAGAGCTTGCTGAATAACAACACCAGCCTCAGAGCTGGCCAGAAGCACATTTGGGACTTGGAGGGAGGCAGGACGGACTATAGTGGAGATCGGCTGCAAAGAAACCTCCTGAAAACACCACACGAGAGCCAAGCTGCATCAACCGCTCACACACACCTGCACTTCTGAGTCTGTCCATCACTGCTCTGGTGTGTTCCTGACTGAGCTAGTAGCCTTCACACCACACACATCGTTTACAAGAGACCACACAATTTGTTGTGCCTTAAGGTTGTTGAATGACATAGTCAAGAAACAATGGTCCAGTCATTTTAAGCCAAAATGGGGTGAACCTTGAACAAAAGGCAACAGAAGCAAACTCAACTAATTTTGTATGTTGTGGGATTTATGCAAATAGAGTGCCGAAGTGATGACGTCACTTTGTAGGACAAATCGGAAGTTGGCAGCGCATGGGTTCCCTCGATCAAAAAGCAATGCATTTTCCCCATACACTTTTGGAAAATCGCAAAAAATAAGATCTGTGTTCAACAAAGAGTTGTGGCCCTTACACGTTTTGTCTATTAAGATAATCTTCACAAGTTAATCCAAGATTTATACATTTTGAAGCCTATATAAAGTATTTAAAAAACACAAGCAGACACAATAAAGTTTAAAAAAAACACAAGCAGGTTATATAACTGCACTGTAAAAAAATATTGTTGGTTTAACTTAAAAAAGTAAGTAACCTGGTTGCCTTAAAATTTTAAGTTGATTGAACTGGAAAAAGTGAGTTAATACAAAGAAGGAGAATGATTTAATCTTCAGAAACTCAAAATTATATGTTATTTGAATAAAATAAATTATTTAAGTTGATTTGACAAAAGAAAAAATGTTGTGATTACTACACTGTAAAAAAATATTGTTGGTTTAACTTAAAAAAGTAAGTAACCTGGTTGCCTTAAAAATTTAAGTTGATTGAACTGGAAAAAGCGAGTTAATACAATGAAAGAGATTAATTTAATCATCAGAAACTCAAAATAATAAGTTATCTCAACTAAATAAATTATTATATAAAGTTGATTTGACAAAAGAAAATATGTTATGATAACAAATCTTGAAAATATTTTTTTACAGTTTGGTGTGTTTTATGTCATACACTCACCGGCCACTTTATTAGGTACACCAGTCCAACTGCTCGTTAACACTTAATTTCTTAGCAGCCAATCACATGGCAGCAACTCAGTGCATTTAGGCATGTAGACATGGTCAAGACAATCTCCTGCAGTTCAAACCGAGCATCAGTATGGGGAAGAAAGGTGATTTGAGTGACTTTGAACGTGGCATGATTGTTGGTGCCAGAAGGGCTGGTCTGAGTATTTCAGAAACTGCTAATCTACTGGGATTTTCACGCACAACCATCTCTAGGGTTTACAGAGAATGGTCCGAAAAAGAAAAAACATCCAGTGAGCGGCAGTTCTGTGGGCGGAAATGCCTTGTTGATGCCAGAGGTCAGAGGAGAATGGCCAGACTGGTTCGAGCTGATAGAAGGGCAATAGTGACTCAAATAACCACCCGTTACAACCAAGGTGGGCAGAAGAGCATCTCTGAACGCACAGTACGTCGAACTTTGAGGCAGATGGGCTACAGCAGCAGAAGACCACACCGGGTGCCACTCCTTTCAGCTAAGAACAGGAAACTGAGGCTACAATTTGCACAAGCTCATCGAAATTGGACAATAGAAGATTGGAAAAACGTTGCCTGGTCTGATGAGTCTCGATTTCTGCTGCGACATTCGGATGGTAGGGTCAGAATTTGGCGTCTACAACATGAAAGCATGGATCCATCCTGCCTTGTATCAACGGTTCAGGCTGGTGGTGGTGGTGTCATGGTGTGGGGAATATTTTCTTGGCACTCTTTGGGCCCCTTGGTACCAATTGAGCATCGTTGCAACGCCACAGCCTACCTGAGTATTGTTGCTGACCATGTCCATCCCTTTATGACCACAATGTACCCAACTTCTGATGGCTACTTTCAGCAGGATAATGCGCCATGTCATAAAGCTGGAATCATCTCAGACTGGTCTCTTGAACATGACAATGAGTTCGCTGTACTCAAATGGCCTCCACAGTCACCAGATCTCAATCCAATAGAGCATCTTTGGGATGTGGTGGAACGGGAGATTCGCATCATGGATGTGCAGCCGACAAATCTGCGGCAACTGTGTGATGCCATCATGTCAATATGGACCAAACTCCTTGAGGAATGCTTCCAGCACCTTGTTGAATCTATGCCACGAAGAATTGAGGCAGTTCTGAAGGCAAAAGGGGGTCCAACCCGTTACTAGCATGGGGTACCTAATAAAGTGGCCGGTGAGTGTAGATCAAAATGTGAAAATATTTAGAGGCTTTGTTCACCACAGACCTTATTTCAGGCAATTTAGCAAAAACCCATTCAAAAATCCCATAGACTTTAGAGCGAGGGAACCGGGAGTGCTAAAATGCTAACTCACTTCCGTGTTTTGGCCTACAAAGTGCACATATGCACCGTATGCCGATTTTAACAAACATTTTCAAAAAACTTGTAATACAGTTTTTGTTTGTCTTGATGTAAGTAATCAACTCATTAATTTTCATGATGATATCTAAAGGTTACAATTTTTACCCTACTCACATGAGAAACCGTATGAATATAGGCTATATTTGGGTCTTTTTCTAAACTTTCCCCTAATGGGATTCTCTTTTTTCCTTACTCAGGACATATTGAGGATAGAAAATCAGTTGAGTTTGTTCAACCTTTTTTCATAAAATGACTGTATACACTATCGTTCAATGGTTTGGGGGTCTGTATGATTAAAAAAAAATGCTGCATATTCAACATTTTCACATTTAAATGATCAAAAATACAGACAAAACCTGTAATATTGTAAAAAAACTACTATACTATTATAACTTAAAATAACTGTTTTCTATTGTAATATAATGTATTCCCGTGATCAAAGCTGAATTTTCAGTTCATCTTCATGTGATGTTTTGATGCTCAAGAAACATTTCAATGTTGTGCTGCTTAATATTTTTGTAGAAACTGTGATAACATTTGTCAGGATTATTTGATGCACAGAAAGACACTGGATTTAGTTTGTGTGCCTATCATAATGTCTTTTACTGTCCCTTTTGATCAGTTGCATCAGTGAAGCTTCAGTAATTTGGCAAGGATGTACATTTCCTGAAAGAAATGTGAGTGGTGCTCGCAGTGGCAAAATTCGGAACTCGGTTGCTAGGGTGTGGTTACACCGTTACCATGGTTACATGCTGATTTTTTCCCAACCAAAACAAACAAGCCCATCTCCATGTCTGTACGATGTTCAGGTGAGATAAAGCTTATTCATGGGTTTGTACGGTTGCTAGGGTAGTCTATATGGTTGCTAGGGTTTGCTTATACAGTTTATGGGTTGATATTTAAAGACTGTTTGCCAGGCCGAGTCAAAAAAGCCCAACTCTGTGTTTATACAATGTTGTGGTGCTGAGATTCTGCTTGTTATTATTGTTTAATGGTTGCTAGGGTCCTATAACTGGTTGCTACGGCATGACTATGAAGTTATTATGTCTCCACTTATTGGCTACTTTCTAGGCCAAGTCAAAAGAGCCCAACCCCAAGTTTCTCTGACCTTTTGATCCAAAGAAATGATCTTACGAATTATGTGCCAATGTTAAGTCTATGGAAGATTTTTCGGCCGATTTATCCCAAGGATATTTTTATTTTTAGTTCTTACAAAAAATAAAACCGTACTGACCCCAAACTTTTAAATGACAGTGTAACAAGAGAAAGGTTACACTTTATTTTATGTTGTCCGTGTTACAGTGCAATTATACATTTAATTACTGAGTAATAATTATTAACTACATGTAATTACTATAGGGTTGCATGTAGGGCTGGGCGATATGGCCAAAAAATCATATCTCGATATTTTTTGGTCAAATGGCGATATACGATATATATCTCGGTACTTTCTACGTTTTCTATTTAGATAAAGAAAATCTTTATATTGAAAAAAATATATATATATATATATATATATATATATATATATTCACATTCGGCCCAATGATACCCTACAAACAATGTTGATATTGAAGGATATGGAAACAAATATAATAAAGGCTATGCAATATATTATGTGCAAAAAGCTTTTGTTTTTATATTGACTAAAAGCTAAACTAAAAATGAAAATAAAAACAAAAACAAAAGCACAAACTAATTATTAGCCTGCATTTGATTACCCCATTATAATCACTTTCACTTTCATTAAAAATATATACTTGTAGGTTTAAAATTCCACATATGGCACATTTATTTTCTCCAACAACAAATATTTTAGCAATATGTTTATTTTAGTCAGAATTATTGCGTACTACGTAGTACTATTCACGCGCATGCGCGCGCCGGCGCTCGTTCAAGGAAGCATGAATTTTAGCGGAGATTCACTTGCAGAAGCTCGTCCTCTTCTGACATGGACATATTTGTTGTGAAATGGACATATTTGCTTTACTTTCTAACATTTACAGATGGAGAATATGTGAAATGTAAGTTGAGCACTGAGGAAAGCACCACATCTCAAACGCATTAAACAGCGCAAGTATATCTGTCAGTCAGCAACAGTGTCTGTCAGAGCATTTGACAGGGCGGCAAGCTGCCTTAAACTTGTTAACTATATCACAGTGATTTTGACGCAATTAATATAAGCTTGTGTCATGTTTAGGACAAATTGTACTACGTAGCCTAGCTACTTTCACTGCAGCAGCTCACACTGCAAACTCCGCTATTTTTCAGATGTGCTCATATCAAACTACTGTATCGATATAAACGGTATTGCCTCATTCCATATCGTTTCAAAAAATATAACGATACATCGTACAAACTCGATATATCGCCCAGCCCTAGTTGCATGTCATTACAGTAACTATATGTAATGTGTAACAAGGACATTAAAATAAAGTGTTACCGAAATAAGTTATATACTCTGCTTAGAGTTCACAATAGAGCTGAAGGTAAAAACACATTGTTCTCAAAGTGAATGTTTATCATTATAGATATCAGCATATTGGCTGAATTAGGAAGGAAGGAAGTCCCATCTTTCTCACACACTCTGTCCAACAAAGAGATTTCCTCATAGATGGTTCACCACTGATTTTATTTCATCTAAAAGCAAGGAGCTCCAGGACAAGCTAACAGAAGCTAACAGAGGACGGCCGCAGGAGTCTGGACTGGTGCAGGGTCAAACACAGGTCGAGGAGACCCAGGAACCCACACAACACGACTCTGCACAATATGAGCCGAGGGACTTTCCTTACATTAGTTGCGTAGCATTGAAAAAAAGCCAGCTAAATGACAAGCACTAACGCCTGGTTCAGATTACACGATTTTAGCCTGATTTTAGCCCGATCCGTTTGACGTAGGGTGTCGTGGGGATTCGATCAATTCATCTCGTATAGTGTTTCATAAGTGGACGATATCCGACTAGCGTCTGCGATGCTTTATTATGACCAGTGTTGGGAGTAACGCATTACAAAAGTAATACATTACAGTAACATATTACTTTTTGCTGTAACGCAGTAGTGTAAGGCATTACTAATCAATTTTCAGTAATATTTTACTCGTTACATGTTCAGTGAGGCTTGTATTACAGTTGTACTACAGTGTATTGTCTGCTTTTACTTCTTAAAGGCAACAGACTATGTGAAAGTTTTAAAGCAGTCTTTTAGTGCCGGTTCAGAGCGGTCGCGTCTGTAATATTGTTTTTTCCTCATGAATGCGAACACGAAAACTAAAATAAAATGAATATTTTAAGTTCTATGGAGACTGGAGAGCCGACCCTTCCTCATCCGATTTGCACAGTGTAATTAACAGAATTACAAAAAATCGATTTTGCCTCCTATTTTTTTGTTACGCATGAATGTGTGTCTTTTCCCTAATATTAAAAATAAAACATAGACTGATATTTGTCTAATGTCTGGAGTCCTTTAAGGAAGTAGCCTATATACGTTTCAATACATGTATTTTCTGAGAATTTTTATTTCAAGTTTTGACTGCAAATGTCATGTCCATAATGCTGGACTTCCCCAATTTTAAATAATTTATCCTCAACTAGTTTTGTGGTGTAGGTCTATGTATTTTATAATGTTAACTTCAAATAATACTAATAGCCTAATTTAAAGATAAGGCAGCATTGGATCTGGACGGTAAGGAGAATAACGCTGGAGTTGGAAGAGGTGTGTCGCGATTCTGTAGGTTCGTGGATCTGAGTCGTGTGGCGAATCGCGATTTTGGTTTCATATTGCATATCGTTACAGCCCAAAAGTTAAGTTCTACTTAGTTATTTTGGTGAAAGTAACTCAAAAGTAATACATGAGTAATGTAACGCATTACAATTCTGAGACAGTAATATTGTAAGGTAATGAATTACTTTTAAATAACAGTAACAAGTAATACCTAATGTATTACAGTTTGGAAGTAACTTGCACAACACTGATTATGACATCGCGATAAAAAGACTAGTGGCCCTCCACATCGGGTTCTGTCAAGAGTGTGTGTGTGTGTGTGTGTGAGAGAGAGAGAGAGAGTTTGAGTGAGTGTGTGTGTACACTCACCTAAAAGATTATTAGGAACACGATAATAATACTGTCTTTGACCCCCTTTACACCACTACACCACCACCACCAGCCTGCACAGTGGTAACAAGGCATGATGGATCCATGTTCTCATTCTGTTTACGCCAAATTCTGACTCTACCATCTGAATGTCTCAACAGAAATCGAGACTCATCAGACCAGGCAACATTTCTCCAGTCTTCAACTGTCCAATTTTGGTGAACTCTTGCAAATTGTCGCCTCTTTTTCCTATTTGTAGTGGAGATGAGTGGTACCCGGTGGGGTCTTCTGCTGTTGTAGCCCATCCGCCTCAAGGTTGTGTGTGTGTGTTGTGGCTTCACAAATGCTTTGCTGCATACCTCGGTTGTAACGAGTGGTTATTTCAGTCAAAGTTGCTCTTCTATCAGCTTGAATCAGTCGGCCCATTCTCCTCTGACCTCTCGCATCAACAAGGCATTTTCGCCCACAGGACTGCCGCATACTGGATGTTTTTCCCTTTTCACACCATTCTTTGTAAACCCTAGAAATGGTTGTGTGTGAATCCCAGTAACTGAGCAGATTGTGAAATACTCAGTCACCAACAACCATGCCACGCTCAAAATTGCTTAAATCACCTTTCTTTCCCATTCTGACATTCAGTTTGGAGTTCAGGAGATTGTCTTGACTAGGACCACACCCCTAAATGCATTGAAGCAACTGCCATGTGATTGGTTGATTAGATAATTGCATTAATGAGAAATTGAACAGGTGATCCTAATAATCCTTTAGGTGAGTGTATGTATGTGTGCAAGTGAGTGTGTGTGATTGAGTGAGTACGTCTGAAGTGAATGTCTGTGTATGTGTGGATGTAGTCTGACATGTTTCTCGTCCACGACACGACAAGATTTTAGGAGTCAAAATCCCGTAATCTGACAGCGTGACTACCGTGACAGACAAACGAATCGTGTAACCTGACCCAGGCAGTAGCAGAAATGGCCTGAAGCGCGCGGATGAAGCTCTCGCTGCGTCTCACCTTGTCGTCGGTTGTGGTGGACTCGGGGTGGGGGAGGGGGCTGTCCCGGTGCGACTCGATGGGTGTGTGCTCCTCTATCTTGTTTCGAACAACAGGAGTCGCAAGCGGAGACAAGTCCAGAGGCAACTGCAACAACCACACACACAAAATTAGTTTCATTTTGATGGAAGATTATTAATGATGAATCATGCTATGTGCCTATTAACTCACTTGCAGCTACTCTATCAAAAGTTTGGGGCTAGTGAGATTTTTCATTCATTTAAAGAAGAAATGAATACTTTTATTAAGCGAGGATACATTAATTTGATCAAAAGTGACAACAAAGATGTTACACAAGGTTGTTATTTCAAATTAATGTATCTTTCTATTCATCAACGAATGCTAAAAATAAAGTATATCAAGGTTTCCACCAAAATATGAAGCAGCACAACTGTTTTCAACATTGATAATAATCATAAATGTTTCTTGAGCATCAAATCATCATATTAGAGTGATTTCTGAAGGATCATGTGACACTGAAGACTGTGATCTTGACACTGATCACAAGAATAAATTACATTTTAAAAAATACTCAAAATTGTACAGTGTAATAATATTGCACAAAATTACTCAAATAAATGCAGCCTTGGTGAACATAAAATACTTCTTTCAAAAACATGAACAACTCTAAACCGACCTCACACATTTAAATGATCACGTAAATTGCAGAATAAACTGTCATCTTTACCTTTTTAATGTCATCCTCGGTGGCTTTATATATATTTTGTAATACTTTTATTCAGAAAGGACACATTAATTTGATCAAAAGTGACAGTAAAGACATTTATAATGTTACACAAGATTTCTATTTCAAACAAATGTTCTTTTAAACTTTCGGTCCCACTTTATATTAAGTGGCTTTAAGTACTATGTACTTACATTTAAAAATAAGTACAATGTACTTATTGTGCTCATGTTGTATTGTTAATCACTTTTGGTGCTATTGAGGTGTGGATACAGGTAAGGTTAGGGACAGGTGTGGTGGTATGGGTAGGTTTAAGGGTAGGTTTAAGTGTAAGGGATGGGTCAGCCGTGTAATTACAGATGTAATTACATAAATTAATTACGGCTGTAATTACATGCTGGTATTTTTAAATATAAGTACAATGTAAAAACATGTATGTACACAATAAGTCCATTGTATCAAATTATTAATTTAAATGTAAGTACATGGTACTTAAAGCCACTTAATATAAAGTGGGACCGAACTTTCTATTCATGCTAAAAATAAAGTGCATCAAGGTTTCAGACAAATATGAAGCAGCACAACAGTTTTCAACATTGATAATAATCATAAATGTTTTCTGAGCATCAGATTCTGAAGGATCATGTGACACTGAAGACTGGAGTAATGATGTTGCACATTCAGCTTTCATCACAGGAATAAATTAATTTATATAAAATTAATAAATTAAATTAATTTTAAACTTATAATTTTCAGCATGAATAGAAAGTAGTTTTCAACGCTGATAATAATGAGAAATGCTTTGTATTTCTATATGTTTGAGGTTGGTTAGATATTAGATATATAAGTATTTTATGTTCACCAAGGCTGCGTTCATTTGATTTATTTTAAAGTGCAAAATTATTACACTTTACAATTGTGAGTATAGTTTAAAATGTTTATTCTTATGATCAAAAGCTGAATTTTCAGCATCATAACTCCAGTCTTCAGTGTCACATGATCAGCATATTTGAATGAGGAACATGCGACACTGAAGACTGGAGTAATTATGCTGAAAATTCAGCTTTGATCACATTTAAAATGACATTTTAAAGTATATTCAATAGTTATTTCTGTTCTTACTGCATTTTTGATCAAACAAATGTAGCCTTTGTGAGCATAAAATACTTAAATCAAACGTTTTGCAAAATGATCACATAAATTGTAGAATTAACTGGCATCTTCACCTTTTTAATGTCGTCCTCGGTGGCCTTCTTGAAGTCATGCTCGAACGGGCCGGTGAGCTCGTTGAACAGCCCGACCTCCTCGCAGTTCTTCAGGAAGCGTGTCGGCGTCGGCGTCTGGTCTGCAAGAGACCCATAAACCCATGAACAACTACAGCTGGAGTGTGTTTTCTTCTACAGTGACGATCAGGTGACTCACCGGCGATGATGACACTCTCATTGCGAGCCGGACCAAACCTCAGGGTCATCTCATGCTTGTGTTTGTGCACCGCCAGGTGGTCTTCATTCGTGAATCGCTGTTGTCACAGTCAATATGTAGAGGAGAAAAGCATGCGGACAAGAAAATAGTCACTTAGTTGCAGTGTTTATTTAAGTGTGTGTTAGTGTTTGAAGTCAGTGATCACATGCCTGTCCGCAGCCAGGAGCCGTGCAGAGGAACGGTTTGTCATCACTCATATTCACAGCTTCAGTCTGCCACCTGATAACATGGGGGACATGCAACTTTTCATTAGTCAACAACACAATGATTTAAAGCCACAGCTGAGAACAAAAACACATGAGTTGTACAGTTCTGGACAAAAGTTTAGGAACATTGCTGTTTTTAATGTTTTTGACTGTCGGTAATTCTCTTATGCTCAACAAGGCTGCATTTATTTAATAATAAAAAAAGTAATATTGTGAAAAATTGTTACTATTTAAATTAATGGTTTCCTATGTGATGTAATGTAATTTATTCCTGTGATCAAAGCTGAATTTTCAGCATCATTACTCAAGTATTCAGTGTCACATGATCCTTCAGAAATCACTCTGATATGATGATTTATTATATTAATGTTTTAAACAGTTTTTTATAGCCTGTTTTTTAATAAATAGTTTTTTTTTTTAAAAAAAGAACAGCATTTATTTAAAAATGAAATCTTTACAATATACACTACCATTCAAAAGTTTGGGGTTAGTCATTTTTTCTTTATGTATTTATTTTTTGAAGAAATTCAAACTTTTATTAAGCAAAGGTGTGTCAAACTGATATAAATGTGATAGTAAAGATGTATTTTGTGAGAAAAGATTTCTATTTAAAAAAATTCTGGGTTTATTTATTTCTTTTTTATTCATCAATAAACCCTGAAAAAAGTATCAAAGGTTATAAAAGAAAAAAAAATAAGCAGCACAACTGTTTCCAACATCGATAATAAATCATCATATTACAGTGATTTCTGAAGTATCATGTGACACTGAAGACTGGAGTAATGGTGCTGAAGAGTTATTTTAAATTGTAATAATATCATAATATTACTGTTTTTACTGTATCAGCACTCATCTATAATTATGAGCAAAACTGCTGTTGTTTCAGACCAAGCTGTCACAGCAGATTTGACAGGACACATAAGATAAGGATTAAAAGTACAATACCAGGCATCACGCATCCATATCTGTATAATTTAACATAACTTAAATACTTGACATTGGTTTCTGTGTTTGTTAAACCCCTCAATCACTCACATGCAGTGGTGAATGTGCTCAGGCTGATATCAACACAACCTATTGTCATTTTCTGCTTTACGTCCTTCTAAATATCACTGTATTTCTATACTATCACAGCGCTAAAGCTAAAGCTCCAGTGTCTTTAACCACAAACCTGCAATTGTTTAATGTCTCTCCAGCGGGGACTGTAAGTGTAAGTATTAACAATACACAGATTGTTTACATCAGTCTCAGCAAGCTAATCAACGCTCAGCCTCATCTCTCATTCATTTCAATGGGATCTCAGTTAGCTGTTAGCATGCGTCGCCATATTAACAACAAAGAAACACAGACACGCTCTAAAAATGTCATAAAGCTGCGTTTTTATTGTGTTACATATTCAGACTATCCTACTAGCCAACCTACAGCTATTTTAAAGGCGTGTCTGTTTATAAATAGTGTGCATTTATGCGCTTACTCACCCGCAGGCTGAACCCTGAAGAGCCAAAGCCCACTTATTCCACCTCTCGCGAGAATTAGGAACTTCTTTAAAGACAAAACACACGTGCCAAACTCTCGCGAGACGTATGTACTAGTCCCAGAGCCAAGCCCTTTAAACTCTTATCGATAAATGTGTGTTCTGCTGACCCCTTTAAAGCTGAAGTGATGAACTTTGGTGTATCGTTGTTTTTTTTTTAAAAACTTGTTCAAAATCCTTTTTTGTAATGTAACGTTAATACAAACCCAAAACGGCAATCCGTTACATTAAGGTACTTTTAATGTTAGCCAATGCAGTAACAATGAACAATTCATTTGTTGCAAGTTTTTATTAATCTTAGTAAACGCGCAGGTAAATAAAAAAATAGTTAATTGGTAGCTCAGTACCATTAAATAATATTAACAAATATATCTTTTCGTGTTTTAGACAAAATGCTTTGGAAGTATTTTTTTTTATTGTTAGTTCATGTTAACTAATGAAACCTCATTGTAAAGTATTACCACAAAAACTTGCGTTTCTGAACTTTCTCTTCACAAAGTTAGACAGACTTCATACTTCAAAACAAAAGTCGCACAACTTGGTTGTTGGTGACGTATACACGAACACAAGGCATATGAATAAAAATGAAGCAGACACCATAGAGTAATGGTAAACTGTGAGCTAAATTTATTTAATGCAATTTACAAACGCAATTGTGGCTTTTAATTGGCTTTTCAACCAATTGCTATAAATTTACAGTCACACTATCAACCAGCAGTTTAACCCCTGAAAACATCCGAGTGGACACTTACAGTCTACACACACACACACACACACACACACACAAACAAACACAAACTTTCCCTATTCTGATGTACAGAAAGTGCGATCAGGTTCTTTATATCCATGAAGCTGTTGCTCTTCTTATTTAATGGGCATGAATAAGATTTGGTTAATATTTGAACAATTTTTAATTGTTACGTGATTTCTTTGAACAAAGTGGACTTGATCCTTTTTTCCTCCTGCAGAGACCAACAGCAGACGTTTTGGAAGCAACAGCTAAAACGCGTGGTCATAACTGCACTAAAAGTGTTTCCACAACTAGCAGATTTTACATGGCGAACAGGATGAGGAAAGCAACCATCAAACAGAAGAGCCCCATGGCTTCAGACAGAGCGAAACCCAGGATGGCGTAAGAGAAGAGCTGCTGCTTTAGAGACGGGTTCCTGCAACACACAACACAGCATTTCCAAACAAAGTTATGACTTTATCTTGTTCAGAAAATTCGAATATTCTGAATATTCTCAAAACAAAAAAAAGCGGCGTTTCCTTCGCATGTGTTCAAGAGAACAAAGATCAGCACTTCCTAGGAAATTGGCACAAAATATCTGTGATAAAAAAGGAAGTTGGTGCAATCAGGGAAGAAACTGTGGCTCTTTTTCCCTCCATCATTAATGAGTTGCGTCTCAAAAGGAAACGCAATAAACGCCGTCATGTTCTCTTGCGTTCGGATTCGGATGCTGGTGTTTGGGAACGCAATCAGGAGACACTTTCTGAGGGAATTAAACCACATCACTCTGATGACAGGCTTTGGCTCAGGCGTTTCAGAACCATCAAACCAACATTTGAGGTGCTGTGATGCGATTGGTCCACTGGTTAGTCCAGTTATCCAATCACATCCTCTGCTGAGGCAAAGTCACGTGACATTTTTTGTTACGCGTTGAGGGATTCTGAATTTCTACGTCTCCTATGCTGTTTGCGGTGTAAATATACAGTTCTACATTCGAACGCCGGCTCCCCATTGGCCAGCTCCTGAGGTGATCATGTGACCAGCGTCGGCCAATGGTATTTGTATTAAAGCGCTGCACTGTATTTATGACATTAACAGCATAGGAGACGTGAAGAAATTGTTGAATAAGGTCGCTGTGTTTTGTTTTTGCGCACAAAAACTTTTCTCGTCACTTCATAACATTAAAGTTGAACCACTGGAGTCGCATGGACTATTTTAAAGTTGTCTTTACTACTTTTCTGGACCTTGAAATTTGTAATTGCTGTCTATGGAGGGGTCGGCGAGCTCTACGTTAATATTCCGCTCTAATATTAAAGAATATTTCACATTTATTACTAGGGGTGCACGATTCAGAAAATGTCACGATTCGATACCGATTTTTTGTCTCGAGATTCGATTCAAAAACTATTCTCGATTCAAAAAACGATTCGCAGGTCTACATAAATGTAGTTTACTTTTTCTTATGTGATTGATTGCAGTAGACATAATTTAAAAGAAAAGTTTGATATTACTTTATATGTCTTCATACAAAAATAAAAACTTTTGCAACTAAAAAGTGCGAAGTGCCAAGCTTTGGCCAGCTTTTAAATACATTTAATTCAAGTTTAAAATAAAACTTAAATAAAAAGCTTTTACATTTAGCTTTAAAGTGCTGTAGTCAGATCAAACAAACAATTCTGCTAAATGTGGTTTAAGGAGTAGGTCTACTTCAGCTACCAGTTTGACTGTTGAAATGTGAACTCGACTGGGCACATTGAACTTCCTAAAAATATATACTAATTTCATAGAACCCTTGCGAAAATATTTTAAATAGATTTAAAAAAGCCACCGCTACTGCTAACATCTATGGTTAGATTGATTTGTTTAGATCCAGTGAAGTCGTTCATAGGCGCGTAATTTGCGGGTATCTCCAGTTAACTAGCAGAGCATTCATTTAGGTCGCTATTAAATAAGAGACCTGTTGTTTTTGAAATCAAGCTGAGCGCTCGTGTCCGCTGCAATCAGTGTCATGGATATACAGTGTTCTGTGTGGCTCGCGCAGTCTTCTCTCGGACGCGCGCTTCAATCTATCGCCGTTGTGGAGACTCCGGTGAAATCACAAAATAAAACGTGATGAACATATTCGGTTTTGATGAGAGAGAGAAAAAACTATACGAGTGCGGTTTAGAGCCCGTAACCTCTGACACGCTTGGCAAAAGATCTACAGAACTCAAACATAAGATCTGCGGATCGATGCATTTATTTACGGGTTGGCTGCACAGTTTGACCAGCGGGCGGCAAGAACTTGCAATAACTATTTATCAGACCGGCCCTCGCAGCCTCGAAACCATAGAAACACTACCGGACCACCGGTAAAAGTCCCGACTCACCCGATTGCCACTCCGCCCCTGCACGCCATTAAAAAATATAGCCTATATGAATCGATTTTTGGAATTCTATGAATCGATTCTGAATCGGTAAAGATTGAATCGCGATTCAAATGTGAATCGATTTTTTTTGCACACCCCTTTTTATTACCATTTTTACTGTATTTTTGAACAAATATATGCAGCCTTGGTGAGGCTGAAAAACGCGTGTTTTTATCCTGCTAACCCTAAACTTTGGAAGAGTAGTGTATAAGTGAACGGCATCTGACCTGGCATATCCGATGATAAGGCTCCCGAACACGGTCCCGATCCCCGCCCCGGATCCGGCCACTCCCACGGTGGCAGCTCCCGCTCCGATGAACTTGGCGGCGGTGTCGATGTCGTGGCTCACAGCGCTGGTCTGGAAGCTCCTGAGGCCCTGAGTGAAGGCCGACTGAGGCAGGACAGCGCCACTGACCTACAGGCACAAGAGGGCTTATTGACCTCTACACGACCCTAGTGTGTTCGCTAAAACATGGTGTCAGCTTCAATGTGACAAGCAATCACAATTCTCACCAGTTTATGAGGAGCAGATAAGCATGAAAATGTTTTTTTTAAATGCCATATAGGGTTAGCTCACCCAAAAATAATGGTATCGGCCAATAAACGTTCATTTTTAATGTTATCGGCAAATTAAAAAGGATCGCCATGAGGCTTTTAAATTGCTTGAAATATGATTGGAACCACTTCAAAAAGGAAAAGTGCAACGTGTAGCACAAGTCTGTCATATAGGCAACATACAATTTTAATACGAACTTTATAAATTGTGTTCTTGGGACATGGCTTTGAATGGTGGGAAGTTTGGATTTAATCTGGATTTAGATTTATCAGCCAATATACCGGTTATCGGCTTTCGAATAGAGCCCGACCGATACCGATACAAATATTTTTGGGTTTTAAAATCCGATATATCGGCCGATATTTTATTTATTTATTTTTTTAAACTGGAGATGTTTAGTCACAAATTTTGTCATGCTTATTTGAGTTAAGAGAACTGATGGGGATGTTCTTTTAATTGTTATTCAAGCAATGTATGTATCGTGACCAACTCAACGAGTGTTGCCAACAGGAACGGTGTAGAGTGCCCTCTGGTGGACAAACTATACAACTCCAACACTCATGACATGGTTCAAGCGTGTTTCGTCCGTTTTTATTTTATTTTTGAAATATTCATTTATCGGCCATTATAACTGCCGATACCGATAGTTTGGAAAATGCCTAATATCGGCCGATAATATCGGTCTGCCGATATATCGTTCTGGCTCTACTTTCGAATATAAATAATTTTCAGTATCGGCCAACATTTTCATATCGGTGCATCCCTAAAAAATGGTCATGTTTACTCACATGTCAATTCAAACCCAAGAGATTCTGGTTCATCTTTGAAACACACTCCGTTATTTCTAATGAAAGCTGAGAGGTTTTTTGACCCTCCAATGACAGTCCAGGAAACCGAAACATAGAAGATCCAAAAAGGCATCATAAAATGAACCAATAAGAATGTTCTTGGATGGAAACAGATATGATCACTTAAATGATGACCAGATTTAATTAACGATTATGGAATGACTTGAATTGAGGGTGAGTAAATGACAGTTTTCATTTTCACATGAACTAATGCTTAAAGTGGAAAAGAAGAGCTCTATCAACAAAACAAGTTAATAAAGTTATATTTCATCTTTTGTTTCTGGTGCCTTGTATCTCATCTACAAAAGCAGGACCTTCAAGTCTGCAATAAAGAGTTATTATAAATGAAAGGAGCTCATGAAGGCAGGTTTGACAGTCACCTCTGGTTTGGCCTCTGGTCTGGAGAGCACGGCAGCAGACAGCGGCCTGTACAGGGACCTGGAGCCCGCACGCACCTACAACACACACACACACTGACTGTAACCAGATTATACGAGAACCACTCAGACAGCTGTCAAAAACGGGGGCGAATTTATAAGAAACAGTATGAACAGTTTTCTGAAAGACATGTATGCTGGGAAAGGTCAGTTCCAAAAGATCCGGCTCAAGGTTCACCACAAGACGCTGTGCATTCAATGCTGGCTATTATAAGGCGCCTTTATGATGATGCATTTATATTAGGAGTATTAAAGGGCCCCTATTATGGGTTTTCGAATATTCCCTTTCATGCCGTGTGTAATACAGCTGTATGTGAATGAATGTAACTAACTCTAAGGAAAGTGCAAATAATAATTTCAGAGCTTTATTTTATTATTTTCTCTGTTAATATTAAGATTAGATTATTATTTATTAATATTATATTACTTTAATTTCGCGTCTAAAAGGGTGATACTAGTTAGTCAAACGTACCCATGGAAAAGGAAAAGGAAAAGCACATTTCGGTCTGAAATTGTATAAAGCTCAAAAGGGATCATTTAAGCACCGAGCTGGAATGGGAACAATGCATTGTGTGTTTAACTTGTTTAATGGTCATGTGCAGTAATATGAAGGATAATCCATTTTTCTGTGAAGAACTGTTTAAATGTATTTTTTCTCGCAGCAAGCTAACGTACATTTTTTTAGCATTGTTAATAATCGAAATATCGCAAAGGTATACGTCGCAATATGCATATCGTAACAGCTCGCAATAACTGGGGTCATGAACAAGACAGAAAATCACTCGCTGCTCTTGGCTGAATAACTTTTGTAGCTTTAAGAAGGATCAGTATACAATTAATTCATACAGTGAAAACCAAGCAGCGTTTTATTTTCTACATTTGATTATTGATTATTTAGTTTGTGTTGTTAAATAACCCTAATGTAGGATAACCTGAACCCCGTGGTTTGCACTGATGTTAAAATAACACTTCTTATGTGACAGTAAAACACTGATGCACTTTCAGAAGCTGTAGGGGTGTTTTCTTGCCACAAAAATAATATAAAACATGTATATGTAGGTTATATAATTTAAAATACATTTTAAAGATAATTTACATTCATTTTACACAGTTTCAGCATTATCAAATCGCATTTTTCTTCAATATCGTGCCGCCCTACTCTACAGTGATGTAAAAGTGGTGGGTGGGGTGGTGATGGCGCAGTGGATAAGACACATGCGTTTGGTTTGAGAGACCCGGGTTCGAATCCACTGTGAGACACCAATGTGTCCCTGAGCAAGACACTGAGAGGCGTGCGACCTCTGACATAGCAATTATAAGTCGCTTTGGATAAAAGCGTCAGCTAAATGAATTAATGTAAATGTAAAAGTGGCATGAATAGCGATATGACTGTTCAGACTGATTATCAGTCCTGTATCAGATTTAGCCATCGAAAATATCAGATTTCACTTGGTTTGTCACTGTCACGGATTTGGTCCACATTACCTGCAGACTGAGCGTAGCACGGTCCTGGTATCTTAAAGGGTTAGTTCACCCAAAAATGAAAATTAAGTCATTAATTACTCAGAATCACTACCACATAGACTCCTAAGGAAATGACACTTGGCGGCCCAGAAAGTCAATGAAGAAAATTTTTAAATATTCAATGTGACTACAGTGGCTCAACTATAAGTTTATCAAGCGACGAGAATACTTTTTGTGCGAAAAAACAAACAAAAATAACGACTTTATTCATTACGAAGGTCTTACGGGGTTGGTACAGCATGGGGGTGAGTAATTAATGACTTCATTTTCATTTTTTGGTGAACTAACCCTTTAAATGTTACAGGTTCAGTCCCACAACAGGACATCCCGTGAAGGAGCTCCATTGTGCCCTTCATAAAGACAACCTTCATCTCGGGTTACACCAAGGGGACCACCACTGAAATGCCTTACTCTAAGATACTTTGGAGGATATAAAATTCAGCAAATAAAACTAAACAAAACTCCTTTGAGGTGATAGAAAGACAACTGACACCTTAGACACTGCACAACATTAACTAGTGTGGAATAACCACTTTCAACTAACACGGAAGACCAGTTTAACGTCTTTAAATCCAGCCATATTTGACCTTAACGAACTCAAAACTCTGAGCCTAAAAGAAAAGGTCAAAGGTAATCTACGACAGCGCGTGACGTTTCACGTTAACCCTTTTAAATCCGTCTAGGAAAAGGAATGAATGAACTACTGACGTCAAGTTCAACCCGCAGGCCGAACAAACAGCGTCGCTTTCAACAACAAAACACACTGTTAAACACACACATTAACACTAAGCTCTCACAGACTCACTCACCAGGGCGGGTGTGGAGACGAACTTCGCGCAGGTGAACATGTTGAAAGGTCAGTGTTTTTGAGCGGCTTCTGCAAAGACAAAATATGAGGTCAGAGATTTATACGAAGAGCTTAATAAATACAGCTGTCGTGCCCCACAAAACCGTCTCCTGACAATATCCCGATCGAACCCGCAACTCTGTGCTCATACAGTCAGAGGATGAAGGATGATGTAGATTTATCTGTTGGGAATGAACGCACTCACCGAAAGCAGAGGTCGAACCACTGGCTGTACTGCGCATGCGCACAACCGACTATGCGTTATGACCCGGATGTTGGTTTCGAGCTTTATTGGAAAGAGCTCAGAGACATTTCACAATGCCACAGAAATTATCAACATCATTATCCTAAATACACCTAAATCGTACATATGGATGTATTAATTGCATTTTTGTTTAAAGATGGCATGCAGCCTTAGAGCGTTTCATATAACTAAATATGTATTTAGACTATTTATTTTACATTATTCTCATTATTATTATTATCATTATACATTATCATATTCTCACTATTCTCATTTAAATATTTAGCCTACAAGCGTGAACACAGGAAGAAAAATATGCAAAATTAAATAAATAATAATTTATGTTCAGTTTCAAATTAATAGGAGCATAAAAAGTGTTTAATCTGAATGTAAATGTGGATTAGATTAAAGGTTACGGCTTATAATAAAACATAAAAGTAATTGTTTAAAGAATACAATTGCATTAAATTGTAAAATATTTTGGTATACATAATTATGACCAGAGTTGGGTAATTTATAAAGAAGTAGCCTATACTTACAAGCTACTTTTTACTTGTTTAACAGTGTTATTAGATTACTGTAGCCTACTAATTAGGAACAGGATAGACACAACACTGCACTTTAATTCTTTCAAAATTACATTATACAGTTGCATAAATTACTATTGAATTAACCATCGTATTTAAAGGGAGAAGGTTAAAATAAAAACACAAATTAGATGTTGAATTTGAACGGTTTAACGTTGGTTTTATGTGGAATTGTTCTAAAGTCTATACAATATTTAATGCAATTCATCATAAATAAGTAATTAATTACAAAAAAATGAAGAGTAATTAGTTACTTTACTCTTTCAATGGAAAATTAATTATAGTAATTAATTTCACCCAACGCTATGACATAAAAAGTTCAAATTGTGACTTAAAAAATACACACACACACTGATCCAGATCTACCTTGCCACCAATCTGTTAGAAGGTTAAGACAGTCATGCTCTTTTATGTTAAAGCCCCCCTGTGGTGAAAATCAAGCTTTTACATGTTTTTTTTTATAGCCTATGTGTTTTTTTGTTTGTTTGTTTGTTTGTTTGTTTTTTTGTTTTTGTTTTTTGAATAACCTTTAAAACAAACCATGTGTGAATTCATAAGTCGACAACATTGCTGAGTAAAACTGCAGTGAATCAAAGACAGTCTCAAAAACACGGTTTGAAATCGCTGGTGTTTCTGACGTCACACACTACCTTGTAACCAATCAGATCAACGCGTGATCGCCAACCAGTGGATCTCTGAGCTGAGCGAGTGGGTGGGGGCGGGGCTCATTTGCATATTCATATAACCGTGCATACTAAATGAGACAAGAGAGTTACATTCAAGCTATTTTAAGACATGATGACTTTTTTTTAAGGAAAAAACGTTTAAATATGTCATTTAGTTGACCAAAGATGAGTTCGTAATTATTGACTAGGGGGGACTTTAAATAGATTTGTTTGAAACATGATGTTAAATAGCAGCTTGGCATTCTATTCATCAATTAATATAAAACTCTCAGGCCAGGATTTACAAACAGGTCTTGGGATTATGCTTTTATTTCAGTTAAGAAAATTAGTTCAATTACTGCTGTTAACAGCTCAAACATGCATTTTAGTCTGACTAGACTTAAACCTTGTCTGTGAAATCGGCCATTAGAGAAGTATATCTAATAATCTCATTCATCATTGAAGCACATTTCTGCCACATAGGGGGAAAATGTATTATTCAATCATTAATCAAAATGATGACACTCATAATTAAGTTGAAATTATTACTTTAATCTCATAATTATGACTTTTTATGTTATACTAAAGATCTTATTTAATCTTATTTAATCACTAAAATGCATGTTTGAGCTGTTTTAACTGCTGAAAGCAACTTGCTATATGTCAGTGTTTTGTCTCAAGATGTACGTACCTACTAACCTAATTGAACTAAAGTCTACCTGGCTTCATCTAAAATTTTGAGTTTTTGAGTTTTTGTTCGTCATAATTCTGGTTTACCAAATCAAGTTTTCTCCACATCAGAAATGGTTTCTATATCTGTGTTGTCACTGACAAATTAAGTAATTTTATTTAAATGAATTAGAATTAGGGAGTTGCCTAAATTTCACAACACTAACTAACAACAACGAATACATTTGTTACAATAGTATTTATTTGTTATAGCATTAGTTAATAATTCACTTTTAGTTCGTGTGAGTTCAGATCCTTTAAATATTATTAACAGATACAACTTTTGATTTTAATAATTTATCTTTTACAGTAATAAATGTTTTAGAAGTGTTTTATCGTTTACTCATGATAACTAACGCAGTTAACTAAAAAAAATAAGATTAGGATAACTGAACAATGGCTTTGTGGACTATTTAATATCTCATGTTCAAAACATTTCATTGCATTTTTATGCACTATTTTACAGTTTAATGCTTCCCGTTCCCCGTGTCCCCTTTCCACCAGAGGGGGTCAGTGAGCCACACACACACACACACACACACACACACACACACACGCTCCAACGCACACACACTGTAGGCCTACCGCCACACTGCTCTTAAGCTCTGCATATATACAGATGCAAAGTGTGTTAGTTTTCTGTATATACCAGGATGACATAGTACTTTTGCCAAAATGTGCAGTAAACAACAGAGTACAGTGTATCCCATCATGCAGTGCACTCAACTTGACCTTCTATTTCCTGCATGACGAATAAACCATAAAACGTGATTGCGTCTATCTTTCCCGAATCAATATTTCATCAAACTGCCAAGGGACATTTTAAAATAACTGTTTTTATTTCCGTTGTAACGGCACTTGTTAAATTAAAAATGTGACAACATTATAACATAATTCTGTTCTATTTCATATTATATTGAAATTGAAAATGCATTATAAAAATTAATTGAAATTCATGTTAATATGCCTTTTACACTTTGTTTTTTTTTTTTGACACTTTGTCATTGTTTCATTTATTTTTGTCACATTTATTAACATTTCTTTCTTTTTTTGCATAAAAAAAACGAATACGGCCAAAATAGGCTAAACCGAGCAGAATCATGCTTTATGAGGACGCCTTTAAGACAGATTATCCACCAGGGAACAATATATGGATGTTTAATTGTCAGACTTGGTGTAGTCTCTCTCTTTCACTGTCAGTGAGATCACGTTTATCCTCCGCTCACCCTCTTTATCACTTTCTTCAGTCTATATTCTCCATTGTTTATGGTCCTCTCAGCACTCCTCCTCATTCTCATGCTCGACTGTCTCTTTTTCTTCTTTACTACACTTCCCTTCCCCCTTTTGAGTTGAACATCTTGAGTGGGTGTATTTGCATGCGGCCCTCATCAGACAGCACACACACTCACACACACGGGCGGCTGATAAAAGGCATTGACCCCCTTAACCTTTATGAATTACAATTTGTGCCAGCAGCACATCCTGTCAGAGGAGTGGGCACCCATGCAGGTGTGTGTGTGTGTGTGTGTGTGTTTGTGTCTATGTGTGTGTTGTGCAGTTGTTAGAGAGAAAAAAGGCTCGTGCCGGTTCTGGTCAACACCTTTGACAAGCTGTGAGAGGCGTTCAGCACGCTGACAGTGCCGGCAACAGAGAGAAACACTCCCAACACGCACACACGAGAATATGTGTGCTACATCAATACATAAAGACAGGCACTGCACATGCAGATAGGCCACACACACACACACACACACATTCAGAAAGAAGATTTTATAGGAGGGATTTTTAACATTGGAATTAATTTAGCCTACATTAACCATGTTTAATGCTATACAATATACAACATAAATACAACATTTACATTTAACCCTAAGAGGTTAAAATACTTAACTTAAAAATCAACATTAAAATAAATAATGTGTAACTTAAATGCTATGCTAAAATGCTAAATGATAAGTTGTGATAAATATTTACAACAATCAAAAATACAATGAAAACGGCATTACTGTGTAATATAAATGCAATTTGAAATAGTTTTGTTTATGTTTTTTATTTTAATGCAAGTACATTTATACTGCGATGCTTCACGACATCACGACAAAAAGACTAACATGTTTAATTTTTTTAACGGTCATCCACGGCGGTTCCGTCACATGTATGAGGTTGACCAATAGGAGCACAGAAGCTTTTCCATACACAACTTTCAAAAATGGCGAAACGAAAGAGAGACGATGGTGCTAACGTTAAAACTAAAAGTAAAAATGTATAAGAAAACAACATTTTACCTCAAGTTCTCTTTGGAGGATTGACCGCCCATGCTGTCCTCTTCGAGCAATGCAGGAACGTGTCCATTGTTGGGTTTTCTTTCTTTTTTGACTTTTTTCTGAACACAGGAAAGCCAATACAACACTCACCGCTTCATCCATTGTTTGTTTACGTTCGTTTCCGGAAGTCACTCGCTACTAGTTTCGGCTTCTCGATGACATCACGCGCGTCGTTAAAGACGGCATGCGATGACTGGTCAGGAAGCAACGTGTAGTCTGACATGTGTCTTGTCCACGACATGACAAGATTTTAGGAGTCAAAATCACGTAATCTGACACAGTGACTATCGTAACAGACAAAAAAATCGTGTAATCTGAACAAGGCATAAGGATAACTTTACAGTCGTTAGGATTGAACCCAAGAGACGAGGTCTCCACAGAGTGAGCCTGTAAGTCTCCAACTCGCTTGACTGATTGCCGGAGCGCCCTCAGGACTGTGGAGGGGTCCCAGGATGGAGCAGAATTTAATGACGTAGTTGTGTTTCCCAAAAGACTGGCCAGCCATGAGGGCATGATTCGCTGCTATGGCCAGCACCTAGGTAAGCGTAGATGGGTGCGCCCACAGTTCAACATGTCCTGCAGAATTGTCAGAACTGTCACTGTTTCGCATTCGGTTTATCTTCTGAGCTGAGCACCAGCCTGAGAAAAGGACAATTTCTGGGCTTATCCACAAGTTTCCGAGGGGCGCTCCTGTAAAAAATAAAGTGGGTGAAACTTCCGGTGAGGCGGCG